AGTTGTATTGAGTACTTTATATATTTTGATATTAACCCCTCATCAGATATATGATTTTCAAATATTTTCTCCCATTCTGTAGGTTGCCTTTTCATTTTTTTGATGGTTTCCTTTGCTGTGCAGAGCTTTTTAGTTTGATGTAGTCCCACTTGTTTTTTGTTGCCTTGCTTTTGAAGTCAGATCCAAAAACTCATCACCAAGGAGCTTACTGCCCATGTTTTCTTCTCAGAGTTTTATGGTTTTAGGTCTTACATTCAAGTCTTCTATCCATTTTGAGTTAATTTTGATTAATTAATTTTAATTTTAATTGACTTTATTTTTGAGTTAAGAGACTCCACCTCTTGATAGAGTTGGCAAGATTCTGGAAGAGCACATGTTACTGAAGATACTGCTGTGGCCGTTTTTAGAAAATACAGTCTGCCATATATATCTTTCTAGAAATTTGTTTTACATAGAAGGTATCATAGTATATGTACGTTTCTGCTACTTGTTTTTTTTCACTTCATATATCTTTTTATATTAGCAAATGTCTTAGTTCAGGTTTCTAAAACAATACTATAGCTTGAGTGGCTTATAATGCTATAGACTGAGTGGCTTACAGAAAAACAGAAATTTTTTTCCCACAGTTCTGGAGGCTGGAAGTCCAAGCTCAGGGTGGCAGCACGGTTAGGTTCTGGTGAGGGCCCTCTTCCCGGCTGCAGGTGGCCGTTTCCTCCTTGGATCCTCGCATAGTAGAGGAGGGCCAGAAAGCAAACTGGGCTCTCTTTTATGAGAGCAGTTATCCCACTTATGACCTAATCACCTCTGAAAGGCCCCACCTCTGACTGCCGTCACATTGGGGATTAGGATTTCGACATATGAATTTTGAGGGGACCCAAACATTCAGTCCAAAATAGCAAATCAAAGTCAGCCTCATTTTTAACAGTGTCTTATTATTGGAATTTTGTCTTTTCTTTTAATAACACAAGTATTATGTAAATATATAAGTTATGAACCTTTGAAATAATGTAGAAAAATAGAGCAGAATGTCAAAGTCCTCTTCCTGTTGTCACCCCTCCCCCATCTCACCTCATGACCACCATTGCTCACTTGGCCAGAGGTTGCATTAAGTTTGTGGACTTTCTAGTCACATATCTATGCATTTATATGCCTTTATATATAATCAAATAGACTGTACCATAAGGGTATAGCATATAAATTGTATGTCTCGTCAGTGGCCATAAATTGCGTGATGATTTTTAGTTCAACAAATTAAACTCAAATTCAGAAGGTATTTTGTAGGATTAGGGAAAGTATATATATATCATTTGGGCAAAGTAGCCCAACCTGTTAGTGTTAGGCATTTAAAAAAATAATTTCAGAATGTTCGGACTTGCTTTTAACCTAATTATTTGAAGGTTTTTTTTTTAAGATTTGCACCTAACAACTGTTGCCAATCTTTTTTTTTCTGCTTTTTCTCCCCAAATCCCCCCAGTATGTAGTTGTACATTTTTTAGTTGTAGGTCCTTCTAGTTGTGGCATGTGGGACGCCACCTCAGCATGGCCTAATGAGTAGTGCCATGTCCGCACCCAGTACCCGAACTGGCAAAACCCTGGGCCACCAAAGTGGAGTGTGTGAACTTAACCACTCGGCCCTGGGGCCAGCCCCTGAAGTTTTGAGGCTTAAATGTGCATGGATTATTGTGGTCTTTCAAAGTTATTTTTGTTACTATTGTAGGAAAATAGGTAGAGATGCTACTTAGTCATTAAGAACTAAATGTGATCAGAAATATTAGGTGCTAGCTGGTCTCCCTGTTGAAACACTGGATGTGGTGTGATTATGCAGGAATACCAGAATTGAATGTACTTTGTAGTTTGTCATTTCTTTAAAATTCCCCTTCTGTAATTTGGCAGTGTGTAATGTGGCAACCTAAGCTGTGATACCTTTATTCTCGCAACTCTTCTCCTTATCCTAAAGAGATTAAATGTGTAAGAATGTATTTATAGGAACATTCACCACAGCATTGTTTTCCATATACAAATTTGGAAATGATACAATTAAATGGAATGTTGTGCCGCATTAAAAATTGTGTAGAGCTGGGTTTTGGCATTAAAAGCTTTGCGACTACTTGTTGAGTGTGGCAAAAAGATAGCAAAACAACATGGAGAGTGTCCTGTTTTGTAAAATTATATGTATATATATATATTATTACAAAAATGCACATGTGGAACACATTAACCAAAGTGTTAATGAAATGGTTATCATTGGATGGTGGGAGTTTGTCCATTTTGTTCACTGCTCTATCCCTAACAACCTCTAGAACGTTACTGAGCAACATAAGAATGTAGGAAATGTTTTAGTTTTTTTCATGGGGCCTTACGTTTTTATTTTGCCTGTTAGGCTCTCCATTACATCTGTGGATCCATAATATAGGTTATTTCTGTGACTGTATTTCCCAAACCCCGTATTGAAACCCATGACCTGATGCTGACAACCAGTTAGAATACTTTAAACCGGGCACAACTATTTCCTATTTCCATTTTTTCAGTATCTTGCTGTCAAGTGGGCCAGGAATTTAGTTGTTGCAAATAAAGCTGATACATGTAATTCCTCTGAGGAAGTTGGCCAAAATACAGTCTCTTAAAATCTGAAAACTTTACTTTGACAAAATGCACGTAGAAGGCAGTCATTAAGTATTTGCCAAACGGGTGAATGCTTTTCTGTATTTGTGTTTTGAGGAAAACTGCAGGAATCTTACTGCTCAGAGATTTTCAAGCCACCATTGACTGTGAGCTGTGAGAGGTCTGGTCAGTGAGGACATTGACCAACTGTTTAGTCATTGATTTGAAGGTACTTTTTTGTTGTTAGTTTTGGCATTTCATTTTTAAAAAAAATAGTGATAAATTTGAGCAGACTTATTTGCACAAACAGGTAGCCCCATTTAATATTAAAAGAACTTTTCCCCCCTTTCCTGCATATTGCTATGATCTGAAAACATTATCCTATGGGCCACAAACTGAGTTTTTTATATACATTATATGTTTAATGTTATATGTATTTAATTATATCACTTAATCCTCACAATGATCTTAAGGTTTATAATGGATTATATTTCTCTCTTTTGTAGTTTGAAACTCTGCCTTAGAAAATAACAGGGACAGAATTTGAACCCAGATACCTCAGACTTCTTTGTTGTTTCCCCCCCCCCCTCTCTTTTTTGGTGAGGAAGATTGGCCCTGAGCTAACATCTGTTGCCAATCTTCCTCTTTTTTTTTCTTGAGGAAGATTGGCCCTGAGCTAACATCTGTGCCAGTCTTCCTCTATTTTGTATGAGGGTTGCTGCCACAGCATAGCTTGAAAGTGGAGTAGGTCCATCCCTGGGATCCGAACCTGCAAACCTGGGCTGCTGAAGCAGAGCACGCCAGACTTAACCACTATGCCATGGTGCTAGCCCCTAAAGCTTCTCTTTTTAACTGCTGTTCTGTACCACACTGCTTATCAGTCCCCAGGCAGCTCCTGTGCATGGGAAAGAAGGGCATCTCCAATATATGTGAAGTTTTTGAGCAGACATAGAAAAATAGCGAATTAGCTCTTCTTTAGGTACTGTCTTAGCTACCTCTGGCTGCTATGGCAAAATACCACAGACTGAGTGGCTTAAACAACAAACATTTATTTCTCACAGTTCTGGAGGCTAGAAAGTCCAAGATCAAGGTGCCAGCAGAATTGGTGTCTGATGATAGCTCTCTTCGTGGTTTGCAGGCAGCTGCCTTCCTGCTGTATCCTCACATGACACAAGAGAGAATGAGGGCTCTGATCTCTTCCTCTTCTGATAAGGGCACTAATCCCGACATGGGGCTCCCCCCTCATGACCTCATCTAAACCTAATTACCTCCCAAAGGCCCTACCTCCAAATGCCATCGTATTGAGGATTAGGGCTTCAGCATACAAATTTGGGAGGGATGCGAGCATTCAATTCATAGGAGGTACATCCAAAGAGAGACTTTCTGTTCTTGTATATTTTTCAATGACTATCTCCAAGGTAAGATTCCTCATAGAAATTCCGTTTATCTGCTTTTTGTCATTAGAATCTTCTCTTTGATCTACATTTTTCCCATAAGCCTTTGACAGCCAAGGTTTTCTGTTAGGCTTCCTGGATATCCTAATAGACTATTTTAGCTTCTACAATTTTCCCTAACATGAAATCTCTGTGCCAAGTCTCTTTTGTTCTTTTAATCTCTGTTTTCTACCTTTTCCCCCAATGAAGAAACACATTTATTCTATTCATACTATGTTGTCTCTGCAATTTTGAAGCTAACCCACCTCAAGAACTTTCTGTGACCATCCTGCTTAGGTGGAGAGATCTAAATCTGCTTTCTTTCCTGGGATCCTGGGATCAGTGTTAACATGAAAGTTTTCCTGGACAGCAACTATTGGCTGTAGATAGTCCACACATGGTTCATCCTGCCCCACCATAACACAGAAAATAGTTGAAGTCTGGCTCCATTCTATGGATACTGCCATGCCTGTTTCCTTCACATGTTATCTTTGGTTTTCTTCTAATTATATTTGTTTTCACAAATGGTTTCCTTTTGGAGTAGCCAAAATCAGCATCAGTAGTACCACTGTATTCTCCAAATAAGTCAAGAAAAAACTGAGAGTAATTGTAAATTAGGCCTCTCTGTTTAAAGAATTCCATCCAAACAGTGAGATTCTCTTGTTTTACTAATTAAATGGTTTTTGAATTCTTCAAAGACTATAATTTACCCATCATAAGTGTTTAAATCTGACATACTAACTATGCATTCCAACACACTGGTTTGGAAAAAACACCAAGTCTGGGACTAGGAATGTGGTCATGATACTTTGGCGCCCCGTTATTCAGAGCCTGCAGTGTTGCCTGCTTGTGAACATGAAGATTGTAGGCGGGAACCCATAGAAGACCAGCCAAAAGAGCAAGATCCCAATGAATAATTCTTCTTAGTCTTGGTTGTGTTTCTGTGTGTGTGTGGGGGGCACTTACTTTAATTTTCTTAAAGCTGAAAGGGCTCCTGCCAGCACAGCATGAGCTAAGGGCTTTTTCGTTTCCTGCTTGAAAGTCATAGTATAGCTTCCACTCTTCTGGCTTCTCTTACCTAGGAAAAATCACTTATGAACCAACACAGCTTCCACATTGAACTGACAGTTTCTCTGTTTACCAACTGTATGTGAGTTGATTGATTTTCTAGAAACTTGTATAGCAGGACAGATTATACATTACCGTTTTTTATCATAGTCCCAAAGGGAAGCCTACTCCTCCTCCTAGTGACAGCTAAAGGGAGAGAGCTCTCTTTTAGTGCTGAAGGAAAACATCGGCTGTGTTGGTCTTAGAGACTGTTGAGTATCTACACCCATGGTCATTTTCATTTTCATTTTACTCTGAATTTGCTTCAGTTCAATTATGTAGTACCTCAACTCACTGGAGTATTTTGTAACCATTCAAAATTGTGGTTGTTTCACGCTAATGATATGTTCACTAAAATTAACAATACAAGATTTTGTAAAGTAGAGTGGAATTGTGATTAAGAATTTAGATATTGGAGTTAGTACTGGATATAAATTATCTAACCTCCCCCAAGCTCAAGTTTCTTCATCAGTAAAGTAGGCACCTGCCTCCCGCCAGTGGTTGTGAGGGTTAAATAAGACAAGTTAAAGTTCCTAGTGTAGTACTATCACATGCAAGTTCCCAGTAAATATTTGTTATTATAATAATTGTACTTATGTACATGTATTATGTGAATGTGCTACAGACTAGAAAAGAATACATGTTCATGATAATTGCGTTAGGGCAGTGAGTTAGTCCACATTAATTTCTAAGTATTCTGTAATGTTATTTTTGTTATGTAATATGTGATATAAATTATAAGTTATTTGTTATAAATCACTTAAAATGTGATATAATTTGTAAATTTTAACATATTAAGATATATTTGTATTTAAATATATTTCAAATATCTTGAGAAAGTATTCCTATTTCACATTGATAAAACATATAGGTATCTGTTATGTATTGGTATGTGTTAGCATTAGAGGCAGGCAGACAAACGACCTTAACAGCAAACTGATGATTTGAGCATATGTAGAGAGCGTTGGTTCTGCAGTGGACTAAATACAACAGCTAAGTAGCGTGGCTCATACGCTCCAGCTGCAGTGGCTTTGTGGTTCCTCATCACCAACTCATGGGCCCGTTTTCACCTAGGGGCCTTTCCTAGTTGTTTATTCCGCCTGGAATGCCCACAATGCTGATCCCCTTGATCTTTGCTGTCATGTAGATAGCCCCTTAAGTGTTACTGCCTCTCTTGCCTAATTTAAAGTGGCTGCTGCCAATCATGCCATCCTATTTTTGGTCTCTGCGTGGCTCTCTGACATTTTTATAATATACTTGTTAATTGTCTGATTTCCCTCACAAGACTGTATGGTCTGTAAGAGTACAAACTTTGTCTTTTTCACACCATAGCCCCAGTGCCTGGAATTACCCTTGGCAAAAGTAGGCATTCAGTAAATATTTTGAATGAGTGAGTGAATAAATGATTGTTGTATTATAACTAGACAATTAATGAGCATCTCACATTTATAAACAAACATTTTTATATAGCTACACAAATATTTATGTTTTATCTCTTATCCCATGTGTATTTCTTAGGTATTTTTAACTTGATGTCATTATCAGCAGTATTCAGTGATTTATGGGCCAAATAGTAAATGTTTAAGGCTTGGGGGCTCTATGGCACCATCTCAACTCAGCTGTTGTAGTGAAAGCAACAATATGTAAATGAATGGATGTGGCTATGTTTCAGGAAAACTATTTATAAAAATAGGCCTCCAGCCTGCAGGTTGTAGTTTAGCGACTCCTGCTGTAGACTATAAACCCACTACAAGGGGGTGTGGTGAAACCCAGCCCTGGATAGTCACAGAGAGGAGAAAAAAGAACAGTGAGCATCTGGTAGACTCACACTGGAAAAGGAGGGCGGGACTGATGGAGGCATGAGGAAGGAGCTGGTGACATGGCCCTACATAGCAGTAGATTTGCGAGGAAATAGATGTATAAAGATTTTTGGGCTTTTTACATGGAAATCATGTAATTTATAGATATCACTGAGCTACAGGTAACCCGCAAGTCAGACCTTGAGACAAGAACAAATAGAACTATAGCCAAAAGGCAAGGCTGGCATTTTATTACATAACGTACAATGAACTGATAATTTATTGGTTGTTTATATCACAGCTATAGATTTTGGGATATGCTATATCATTGCTAAAGATTAAACCCAGGATAATTAATTGAGTAGGAAAGTTATTTTTGCTCCTTATTTGATATCTTAAGTGATTAGGTAGTTCTTCTTCAATCCAAAGACCTTTTTACCTAATAAATCGCTTTTTGTTTTCCCTTCTCTGCAATGCTACTTGGAAGTGGAAGAGTAATGGGGAAAAATATATGTGCTTATAAAAGTATAAGAACATCTCTAGAGAGATTCACGAGAAAACCGAGTGCTGGCAAGGCTGAGGGACAGGAGAAAATGGGAGATTTACCTTGCACAGAGTACCATTTTGTACTTTTGAATTTTTGTACTGTGTATACATCATTATTGGGACATAATAAATAAAACTTAAGTATATTCATTTTAAGAGACTTGTCAGTTCCATTTTGTGACCAAAGGGTCTAGTAGTCTTCTTTTCAATTTCTTTAGAATGTATATTTTTAAAGAGTTTTTGGGTTGATTTCTTGCATATTTAGAAAGGGCAGCATAATTTTATATTAATTAGGATCTGTTTTCCCATTCTAATTCAAATAGGACTACTTTTAGTGGTACACCAAAGCAAGCCTGATCATCTTAGAAAACAATTTAAAAAGTGATTTGTTTAGTTAATTTCAATAATTGTTTAGATGAGGTCATAATTTGTGTGGCACAGGAGTAATAATAGCTAACATTTCTTGGGTTGATTCTACATGTCACATGCATCTCTATTTTAATCCTCATTAGTACTCAATTATAGGTAATATTATCCCCACTTTACCAGATGAGCAAACTAAAGCTTGGATGTGTTAAAGAACTTGCCTAAGGTCTTGAAAATACAGGAAGTTGCAGAGACAGACTTTAAATTGAAGTCTGTCTTTCTGCAGAGCCTATGCTTAACCAGCTAAGTAAGCATGACTGCTCTGTAATTGCTTCCCCAAACAATTGCAGGTGACGAGTTACTGCTTTAATGGAGAGAAGGGGTGTCATTATAAAGTAATGAGGCTGAATTGAAAAGTCGCATGCTCCTTATTCTCTTTACTATGTAGTCATCTCTATTTTAAGATTTATAAGATTATCATTTCTAAACATCCTCAAAGCCCTCAGCATTGGGTGAACATTCATAAAAGGATGATGTATGTTTATTGATAGGTAGGTTTTTTCTGTTTAATTTTCTTTATAAAATTGATTATCACATGGCTCTAAAATTATGTAACAAGATGAACATTGAAATCTTTAGCTCCCATCTCTGTCAGAGTCTGCTCTACTCCTCCATCCTACCCTCAACCCCTGTGGTAGCCATTTTTATTAGTTTCTTGTTTATTCACCCACTGTTGATGAAGATGCAAGCAAAGAGGAAAAAAAATTATGTTCCTTCCTTTCAAAGGTGCATTTTCTACAATATAATCTCTTGTTTATCTGTTTCTAACTTTCATTGAGAAAAAAAATCTCATTAACAAAGTTTACTCTCTTTCTAGTAGCTTTCCTCTACAGTTTAGCACTTTTCCTTTGGAAAGTCTAAAACGTGTGGCAGCAGGACTGTCTGTCCTTAGTTTAAATAGGTGAATCGCACTAGATCACAGTATATTTGAAAATTATTTTGAGTAGAACAAAATCCCCCAAAACTGAACAGCCCCTCAACGTATTCTGTGTTTGTGTCTGATTTTGAAGGTACAATTTATATGTGGTAGCATTCACTAAAAAACAAAACATTTTTCTGATAACTAGTATCCATTTTTGGTTAAGTCCAGTGGCTAACTTTCCTTTTTTCTTATTCATTGTAGTTGAGGCAGTCCCAGTCCTACTGCACAGACACAGAATGTCTTCAGGAATGTAAGTAACAATGGGACAGGAGGAGGCTTGGCGTTGGGGGCAGAATTAGAGGCCAGATGACTGTGAAGATGAGACAGAAATTATTCTTACAGGTTGCTTTTTAAGGAAATGGTTCTCAGTAATATATTTCCTACTTAAATAATTTTTTAACTTAAAAAATTGGTTTTTTTTCCTGCCTCAAAAACAAACCCTATTCATTGAAGAAAATTATAAAATCACAAATAAACAAAAAAGAAAAGGAAAAACTTCCAGAATACTAAAAGATAACCACTGTTGACAACTTGGTATAAACGGTTCCAGACCTTTTTCTTGGCAAATTTATGTGTAACAAGCCACTTTTGTCTGGTTGAACTGGAACATTGAGACTGCCAGTACAAACCCTCCTCCCTTTCCATAGCATCTGTTTGCGTCCATCGGTAGCTGTGAGAACTTCTGAGTGAAGGAAGAAGGACATTCTGTCCCAAGGTTTGGAAGCTTTGGGAGCCTGTGGAGTCTTTCCTTTGGCTCCAACATTAGCATTTTCAAGAGGGCCTGGGCAGAGGGGAGGTTTCTCCCTGTGGCTTTCTGGACAGTGGTGATGGTAAAGTGAGAATCAGAGCAGGAAGATGGGTCCTGCATGGTGAGTGTAGCTGACAAACTTGGCATCCATGATGTGAAGCCACCTTTTTCAAGACAGAAATAACTTGAGGGATACTTTGAGGGCAAATAATAACAAACATTTAAGCCAGTTCAGTCTTGTGCTGTAATAATTTGACTGTAAGAATGGAAATGTGACATTCACAGGATGGTGAAGCCCGGCACAATTAGATTTCATTTACACTTAGAAAAAGGGGATCACTTTGTATGTGTTGTTTTTCACTACTGTATTATGAATATGTCAATATATATTTATCTTAAAAATATTTACTGACTAAATAATAATCCATTATGGAAATGCACCAGTGTTTAAATAATTCCCTTTTGTTGGAATCTTAGTTTGCCAATATATTTCTTGCTATTATAAATAATACTTGAACAAATATCCTTTGCACATTTTAAGGCTTTTGACATATTGCCAAATTGCATTTATTAAAAGGCTAGTTGCTAATACTTAACATCT